CGGTTCAGACACTTAAAACGTATTTTTAAACAGTCTAATAAATTTGGGGAGTAATTTAATATATTTTGATACAAATTAGAATAGTACAGAAGACAGACAATACTAAAAACATACTTGAATGGAGGGTAACTTAGTTTAAAAATGCAACAAAAGGATCAACTTTATTCTTTAAAATGTTATAAATATCATTTAGTTATCAGTAAGAAATCTGTATTTTTTAGAAAACCTAAAAGTTGGTGCTCTCCAAAATAGGTTAAGTTTATAGGTGTTTATAAAAGTGAATTATCGAAACGTGTTCTCTGAAACATTTTTACTCACATTAGCTTTATATCCCACATTTACATATAAAAACTCATTAATGACGACTAAAATGAAATCAAATGCCAATTCAGTATTCAGTTGCCTATAATTTTTAGCAATCACATAATCAGATACTTTTTGACCTTGTAGGAGGAAGGGATCAGGTAGGGGTGCTATTTGAGAATGAAATGTTTCCAATCACAATGCCACTTTTTGAAGTCCTAAACAATTTTTCACTTTGGATACTGAAAGGGAAGGTTATAAATCAGAAGTTTAGTGGATTTTTAATGATTTCTGATTTCAAGAAGAGCCGCAGGACCAGGCTGGTAACATTAGAGTGCCTGACCCAGTGGAGGACACTCCTGCAGAGATTTCTGCCAAGTCCTCTACCACCACACTAGGGAAATCCAGGCTAGAGAACCGTGGGTCGCAAACCTCAGCCTGTATTAGAAGTCCCCCAGAGGGCTTGTTAAAACCCAGAGGGTGAGCCCTACACTCAGAGTTTCTGATTCAGCAGGTGTGGGGTAGAGTTTGAGAATTCACGTTTCTAAAATGTTTCCGGGTGATGCTGCCTGTCTGGAAATCCTTCTCGGAGAACGACTGGCAGAGAATCCTTTATACACTCCCCCGCCGCCGCCCCCGTTATCGCTCTGAGGCTAGAAAAGTGAAAGTAAGCAACAATGGTCTTAAAGAAACAAAAGGTCACTGGCTATCTTCAATCACCTTAATTTACCCCTAAATTATCACTCAAATCCTGCTACCAATAATTCTAAAAACTGAGTGTAATTCTAGAAAATACAAAGTAACCTATAGTGTCAGAAAGCATACAAGGGTTGGTCTGGGGATGGAGAGAGGGACAGGTAGAAGTGGGAGACAGGGATTATAATACAAAGAGGTGTGAAAACACTTCGGGGCGGGGGGTGATGGACATGTTCATTATCTTGTTATCCTGATGGTTTCGTGAGCATACACAGAGGTCAAACCCATTACACTGCATAGTTTAAATGTGTGCAATTTAATGTATGCCAATCATACCTCAATAAAGCTGTTTCTCAAATTTGTTACACAGCTGCAGTATACTACTTTGGGATTATTACATATCTTCAGCTTGGTTACATCTGAAGTAGGCACATCATTTAACTACAAAATCTTTACTCAAAATATCCTTTCTGATGGACTCTAATTTAAGTATAAATTTCTTCAAATATATTTCACTTTTTGGTTGATCTTAACATTTCCAAGTTTTGACAAGCTTTTACGGCTGCTTCCAAACTATATCTCACTTTCTCTATTTCAGAAAGCCTTCTCTGAAAGCTCTCCAATATTTCTGCTTGTTGATGATGCTGGTTTTGTGTGGTTTTAGTTGTTGTTGCTTTGTTTTGCTATATATCACATATACGGTATGGTACATATATATCTACCTAACATATATCCACCCTTATCTCTTAACCATTCCTACCTGGGGTCCATGCTATAGACAGACAGAAACAGATGGATGCCTACCTACCTTCAGTTCCCTGGATGCAAGTTCATCCAAGCCTTGCAGGATACGCCTTCTCCCTTTCCACCTTAATTTCTATTCACTTGTTAGCTGTCACCTCATCTGGTGACCTCTCCTGACCCTCACAGGTCTACCTGTTCTGGATCAGTATTGCTCACCTGGGTTCCCCATCCCAGTGCTTATGGCTTTCAGGGCATTGTGCGGATTATCTGCTTACTTATCAACTCCCTTGCTAGACCATGCTCTCTCTGAGGGTGGGGGACATACCTTTTATCTCTGTAACTCCAGTGTCTGGCACTTAGAACTAACATTTGATATATGGTCGCTGAATAATTAGTGTAAAATCTATCTGTACTGACCATGTCAAACCCAAAGAAAAAAGCAACTTCAGGTGTAGAATCTGATTAAAAACATTTGAGCTGATGAGTCTTTATATAAAAACAAATTTGAATGTTATCTCTATTTTATGCTCAAAAACTCAAGTTAAATAATGTTTGCTTTGGAATTTATTACCTTGTTCTGAAAACTGTCCAGTAATTGATAACTAAACTAAAATTTTATAAAGGCACTTAGCCAAGGGCATTAAGAGTCAAAAATATTACACACACACACACACACACACACACACCTCCTCTGCACCAGAGATCAATTTTTTAAAAACTTAAAATAGCATATTATATAAACAGTATATTTTAAGTTCTAGAAATGTTAAGGAAGAAACTCTAAAAATCTTATTTTATCCAATTCTGAATTATTTAATCAGACCTGATGCTGTTATGTACTGAATTATAAGACAAGTTCTATAGAGACTTCAGGGAGTTGAATCTGTGTTTACTCTAGTAGGGACTAAAATTTATTTACTTTTTTTATAGGCCTAAGAAAAGGATCTCACAAGTAACAGTACATAAAATTTACTAGACAACAGAGAATAAAACATAAAAGAGAAATGTTCTAAGAAGAACAAACAGATAAACTCATGTATTTTGGAAGGATAATTATCTAATCATTTAAGACCTATCCCATGATCAGATTAGAGAAATCCGGAGATGAAAATGACTTGGTCTGAGACAAAGCTAGGAAATTTAAGACACGTTAAATTCAAAGGTGCAATTTACCCCAATTATCACTAATGACTTTAATGATGAGGAAGCATTAGAAATGTAAATTGAAACCTAATTAATGAATCTGTCAATGGTTCTTCTCTCACGCAGTCTTAACACATTTCCTTAGCAAAATACTTAGCAAAAGTGATCTTTGCTAAGTATCTGGTAAAAAGAAGAAACAAACATAATTTTTCTCTAAAATTACTTTTCATAATCAGTTCACACTAAATGTAATGCTTTGAAAACAAACAAAAGATGAACAGATTTATCTACAAATATTTCCACTACCGAGGCTCCAAAAACACATCTGCAGATCAAGCCAACAAAGATTCAGTACTTGTAGAATAAATTAATAAATGTATTTGTGTCTGAGTCCTACCCAGGCAACTTCTTAAAACATTTAAAATAGTTTAAAATCTCAAGTTCTAGAACAGATAAAGTACAAGTTACAAAACAGTATTTTTACATTCTGTTTATTCACATTATTTGGCTGAAATACAAGTCTGACATCCATAAATCGGCATATATTTTGGTTAAGCCTGAATCTCGATCTGAAAAACTACTAAAAAGCTCTTTGAAAATGTTTTGGATATATCAGTCCATAAAAATGATTTCAGACTTACCTCCCCAGGCAGGTGACTTAATATACTCTTGGACTAGGTTCTTTACATAAGCATTTAAAGAGGATGTCTCGTGAAGTCCAATGGAGCTACAAGTTGAGGGTCGCCTAAAACAGCTTTCATTAACACGCAACCAATCACAGAGCTAGAAAAGAAAAGTTATTACTTATTTTAAAAGCTTAACTGAACAAAGGGTTTCTAACTTCCCTAAGCCAATTTTCTTTCCTCCACAATAAACTGAATTTAAATGACCGAACACTACAAAGTAACAGAACATTTATTGTCATGATTGAGTTCTGCAGATAGCTCAGACAGAAAAGTGTTCGTATGTATGTGTGTATATACACATACGTGTGTGTGTGTGTGTGTGTGTGTGTGTGTGTGTGTTTTCTAACCTCTTCAAAGAACTTATAAACTTCATTAACAGGCAAGAATTTTTAAAGCAGCTAATATAAAATATACATTTTGATAAGGTGTTCTAACGAACATCTCTACGAAAAATAACTCATTATGCAAAACAAATTACAGTCTTAAATTAAAATTTATTCCAGCTTCATATACTAAAACAAGGATTTATTTACGACAGAATGTAGAATTTGAGATATAAGTTATAATGAACGTTCCTACCTTCCTTGCAAGTTTATTTTCTGTGATATGTGCATTTTAAAATAAAGTTGATGCAAATGTAAGGCCAGGACTTCCCTGGTGGTGCAGGGGTTGAGAATCCACCTGCCAATGCAGGGGACCCGGGTTCAATCCCTGGTCTGGGAAGATCCCACATGCCGCAGAGCAACTAAGCCTGTGTGCCACAACTACTGATCCTGCGCTCTGCAGCCCACAAGCCACAACCAGTGAAGCCCGGGCACCTAGAGCCCGTGCTCCGCAACAAGACAAGCCACCACAATGAGAATCCCACGCACCACAACAAAGAGTAGCTCCCTCTTGACACAACTAGAGAAAGCCCACGCGCAGCAACAAAGATCAACACAACCAAAAACAAACAAAAGGTTAGGTTTAAAAAAAACACAACACACACACAAATGTAAGGCCAGACACTTTAAAACTCTTAGAGGAAAACATAGGCAGAACACTCTATTACATACATCGCAGCAAGATCCTTTTTGACCCCCCTCCTAGAGAAATGGAAATAGAAACAAAAGTAAACAAATGGGACCAAATGAAAGTTAAAAGCTTTTGCACAGTAAAGGAAACCATAAACAAGACCAAAAGACAACCCTCAGAATGGGAGAAAATATTTGCAATCGAAGCAACTGACAAAGGATTAATCTCCAAAATTTACAAGCAGCTCACGCAGCTCAATATCAAAAAAACAAAGAACCCAATCCAAAAATGGGCAAAAAACATAAATGGACATTTCTCCAAAGAAGATATACAGATTGACAACAAACACATGAAAGGATGCTCAACATCATTAATCATTAGAGAAATGCAAATCGAAACTACAATGAGGTATCACCTCACACCAGTCAGAATGGCCATTATCAAAAAATCTACAAACAAATGCTGGAGAGGGTGTGGAGAAAAGGGAACACTCTTGCATTGTTGGTGGGAAGGTAAATGGATACAGCCACTATGGAGAACAGTATGGAGGTTCCTTAAAAAACTAAAAATAGAACTACCATACGACCCAGCAATCCCACTACTGGGCGTATACCCTGAGAAAACCATAATTCAAAGAGTCATGTACCAAAATGTTCACTGCAGCTCTATTTACAATAGCCAGGACATGGAAGCAACCTAAGTGTCCATCGACAGATGAATGGATAAAGAAGATGTGGTACATATATACAATGGAATATTACTCAGCCATAAAAAAAACGAAACTGAGTTATTTGTAGTGAGGTGGATGGACCCAGAGTCCATCATAGAGTGAAGTAAGTCAGAAAGAGAAAAACAAATACTGTATGCTAACGCATATATATATATATATATATATATATATATATATGGAATCTAAAAAAAATGGGTCTGATGAACCTAGGGGCAGGACAGGAATAAAGATACAGATGTAGAGAATGGATTCGAGGACACGGGGAGGGGGAAGGGTAAGCTGGGACGAAGTGAGAGAGTGGCATGGACATACATACACTACCAAATGTAAAATAGCTAGCTAGTGGGAAGCAGCCGCATAGCACAGGGAGATCTGCTCGGTGCTTTGTGACCACCTAGAGGGGTGGGATAGGGAGGGTGGGAAGGAGACACAAGAAGGAGTGTATATGGGGATATACGTATGCATACAGCTGATTCACTTTGTTATACAGCAGAAACTAACACAACATTGTAATGCAATTATACTCCAATAAAGATGTTAAAAAAAAATACAGTTGATCCTTAACAACACGGGTTTACACTGTGCAGGTCCACTTACACGTGGATTTTTTCAGTAGTAATTCATGATCCATGGTTGTACGCGTCCTCAGATGAAGGGCAGTTTCTTAAGAAACCAAACATACTCTTGCCATAAAATCCAGCAACTGTGTTCCTCGGTATTTACTCAAATGAGCTGAAAAGTTATGTCCACACACAAACCTGTACGTAAATGTTTATACCAACTTTACTCATAACTGCCAGGACTGAAAAGCAAACAAGATGTCCTTCAGTTGGTGAATGGATAAACAACGGCACACCCAGACAAAGGAACATTATTCAGTGCTAAAAAGAAACGCGCTACCAAGCCATGAAAAGACATGGAGGAACCTCAAAGGCATATTATAACTTATTGAAAGAAGCCAATCTGAAAAGGCTTCGCAATGTATGATTCCAACTACAGGACATTCTGGAAACTATGGAGGCAGTGAAATACCTGGGGCTGCCAGGGGTTTGGGGGAGCAAGAGAAGACAGGAATTACTGGGTGAATTGGGGATTTTTCCAGTATGGAAACTATTGTGTGTGATACTGCAACGGTGGATACATGTCAAAGCCCACAGAGTGTATGGCACAAAGAGTGAACCCTAATGTAAATTATGAACAGTAGTTAATAATAATGTATCAGTATTGGCTCATCAATTGTAACAATGTACCGTGTTTAATGCAAGATGCTAATAATAACAGCCACAGGTGTTGGATGCGGAGGGTACCCAGCGGGTATATGGGAACTCTGTACTTTCTGTTCATTTTTTTTCTGTAAACTTAAACCAAGCAGCTATCTGATCAAACCAAGGGGAAAAGACAATAGTAGCCATAAATATTTACACTTAGCATGGGCCAAGCACAGTCTGAAACATGTTTACATGCATTTTTTCATTTAAACCTCACAGCTCACACCAGATATCAAAATAAGTTCCAGGTGGATTAACCACCATTTACAAACTATACATATCGATCCAGTGAATAGACCTTATTTGGGTACTTGAATAAAACTGACTATTTGAACAAACAAAATGCAAAAAACAAACAGAAAAACACATTTATTGAACATCTGGATAAATTAAACACCGAATATTTGAATCAAGAAATTAACAACATTTTTAGGTGTGATAAGGGCGTATTTCTTAGCAGTATCTTCATCTTTTAGTAGTACATATTTCTAGATGAAATAAGATCTGAAGCAAAAGTCCAACAAAAGGAACTGATTAAATAAATTCTAAAATATTTAATCAACCGAATTTTTAAATATCCCATATTAGGGAACTATTTAGCAACATGCTATATAATACTCAAATGTAGGTAAAGATGAAAAATAAAATTCAAAACAGAATAATCTTAATTTGTTTAGAAATATCATATGTATTAATATACCATTTAAAATATACATATACATATACATATACATATATATATATATATATATAGTGAGAAAGCAAGAGTGAGAATGAATATATCTGAAAAATCAAGAGTTAAACCAAAAAATATGGATTTGATGGTTGGCATTACAGGTGATTTTTACTTGCTTTCCATGGTCCTGTATTTTTCAGATTCCACATAATTAGATGTATTCCACATAAACAGATGTATTAGACCAAGAAAATAAAACAAAATTCGAATTTTCAAAGGCTCAAATTAGCCCCTTCCTCATTCCCTCTGCCATTACCTTACTCTATGCCCTCATTATTTTATGCCTGAATTATTTTAACATAATCCAAGCTGCTTTCTCTTGTTTCTCTCCAGGCGTACCTAGCTGGAATTTCTTTCTAAAGGAAATAATCACATCTCCAGCCTCAGTGATCTCTTAGGCACTGGAAAAATACAAAATTTAAAACAAAAAAAGGTTCCTGTCCTCAAAAAATATATAACCTACGGGCTTCCCTGGTGGCGCAGTGGTTGAGAGTCCTCCTGCCGATGCAGGGGACACGGGTTCGTGCCCCGGTCCGGGAAGATCCCACGTGCCGCGGGGCGGCTGGGCCCGTGAGCATGGCCGCTGAGCCTGCGCGTCCGGAGCCTGTGCTCCGCAACGGGAGGGGCCACAGTAAAATTATTTATATATATATATATATATATATATATATATATATACACACACATATATATATAAATAACCTAGAGAGGACACAGATTAGGATTCTGGGTAAGAGCTAACAGCAGTGTGGACTGAGTCCCATAGTTTAAAATAAAAAGGAGGAGGACACGGACGACTGAAGAACCCGCAGAGAAGGGCAGCCCATGAGACCAGAGCAGAACCTCAGGGCCCCGCACGTGGGGTGAGCAGAGAGTGCTCAGTGAGAAAGCAGTCATCGCAGGGGAAGGTCTCCAAGAGCAGCGGCTGGAGAAGAAGGCAAGACACTCGTGGTTTCATGGTGAATGAGATGCAAAAAGTCAGGAAGAATTACGGATTACCTACACACCAGGCTGGGGAGCCTGAGTAGATGAAAGTGCCAAGAACCGACAGAAGACGACAAAGAGGAGGTCTGTGTTACTGGCTTTGAGTCTAACGTCATCATCATCATCCCAGTACATCTCATCCGGAATTGGGATCTGCCCACTAACACTGCCCCCCCAAACCGGTCCCTCTCTATTCCAGATACTTCCTGCCCCCGTTTCTCCATAGGAACCTCAGCAGCGTTACTGGTTACATCCACTCAAAGCAAATAAACAAGTTTTAAAAACCTCTGGTGACAGCAAAGCAATCGTATTTTACATAAAAGGCTAGTAATGAATTCAATTAGATAACAATTTTCCACAAAGTTTTCGAAGACCTTATCATTAAATTATGTTCAGGCTCACCTCTGTCCACAGTGAAGTTCCTCGTCCGAAGGACTCCTCTTGTCTCAGTGACATGACAAGAGATGAGACATCAGAGAGGGACACTTTCTCCTGGGGGAGGCAGGGCAGTTTTAAAAAATTACTCATTTAAAAATGTTTGAATCAAACATCACTGAATCAAAATCACAGCAAAAGCAGTCTAGCAGACTACTTACAGTAGAATACTATTAGGTAAATCGAAAGCTACTTTTTAAAAAGAAAACATTATTCAACTTTTAATAGGAAGACACTGACTACAAACATGCAATTATATGCAATTATCTACGACCATTATAGAAAATGAAAGATCACTTCATAAATCTAGTTTCCTTAAAATCGAGGCTGCTATCTTAGAGGTAAAACAGTCACAGATCTAAAAGCAAAAACAGAAGCAGCCTGTAAGAAATTACTTATTACTTAAAAGTGAATCTTAACTTTTCAACGCTGCAAATATGACCCCACCTTAAGAAAACCACCCAGGTCTTTTCATTCCCTGAAGGTTGCGCATCTTCAATTAAGATACCTTGCTGTAAGCCGGGGGTCGGCAAAACCACTCACAGCCTACTTTGTAAGAAAAGTTTTACTGGAACACAGCCATGCCCATTTATTTATAAACGGTCTATGGCTGCTCTTGAGTAGTTGTGACAGAGACCGTATGAGTCAAAAAGCCTAAAATATATACTAATCCAGCCCTTCACAAAAAAGTTTGCTGACCCCTGTTCTCAGCAGTAGTGTTACTGGAGCTCTGTGAAAAACAGAGAATAAAGGTTTTCCTTGAATGTCAATTTCCTGGAAGACGTGCACAAAAAATACAGAGGAGACCAGGTGAAAGCTTCCAAGAGTCCTCTCCCGGTACGGTCACCCAGCTACCCCACCGACGTGTAAAATGCCTACCAGGGGAGCTCCTCAGAGACCCAGCACCCAGGGTTTTTACTGGGAGCTGGTCGCACAGACACCCCCTGCATCGCACCTACAATTCCAGACCCCGGGAAGGAAAGCAGGTGTTCAGTAGAGACCACACTGTTTGTGTGAGTACTGCAGGCACAGTAGGTAGGATGGTGGGAACCCTCCTGAAATCCAAGTTCCCAGATGCCAGCCAAGGGCCAACCTTATAAGCAGGGCTCTCTAACGACAGCATCACAGGCCTGCTGTGTTAACCCTTTTATGAACACCAGCTCACTAAGAAAGACTAGGAAACTGGAGTTAACATTAGGAAGAAAGATAAACTCACCACGTCTACCAGATTCATGGCCGTCTGAAGAAGATAGCACTGCGCTGCCCCTCGCAGCAGGATCTGATGTGTGATCATGGTGCACTGAAGAACGTCCCTGACATAGGAGAAAACACATGCACTTCCATGGTGCATTGTCTCAGGACAATTCGGATAGTTTGTGGTAACTGACAACTTGATTTAATATATCTACACTTTCTAACGCAGTCACTGACAGGAGAATTTCAAAGCTATTAAATAATTAAGGCCTCTAGTGGAGCTCAATTTTAATATGAAACAAATCTCCTTTTAAAAACAACAAGATAAGGACTTCCCTGGTGGCGCAGGGGTTAAGAATCCGCCTGCCAATGCAGGGGACACGGGTTCAATCCCTGGTCCGGCAAGATCCCACATGCCATGGAGCAACTAAGCCCGTGCGCCACAACCGCTGAGCCTGTGCTCTAGAGCCCGTGAGCCACAACTACTGAGCCTGCGTGCCACAACTACTGAAGCTCGCGCGCCTAGAGTCCACGCGCCGCAGCAAGAGAAGTCACCGCAATGAGAAGCCCACACACCGCAAAAGAGAGTAGCCCCTGCTCGCCGCAACTAGAGAAAGCCCGCGCGCAGCAATGAAGACCTAACGCAGCCAAAAATAAATAAATAAATAAATTTATTTTTAAAAAAAAAGACAATTTCAAAGTAAGAATTTTACATTTTTTTGAAATACTTTGTAATCAATATTAATATTTGTCATTTTATCTCTAGTTTCCTACATATCAATGTAATAAAAACAACTTACTGGCCTTATTTTTAAAGTGACCATAATCCAATAGTATGTATTATGGCATATATTTAAATTAGGAATTCATAAAACAAAATAAGTTCAACTATATGAATAGATTTTTTTAATTTACTTTTTTATTATATAAAATTAAGAGCGAAAAATCCTGATGCCAATGTTAACTAAAACCACTCACTAGGGATTAAAGCAGAAAGAAAAACAAAATTTACTAATGGAAAGGTACGACAAATAACCGTATGTGAACATACTCAGAGTACGTTACCTCAGGGCAAGAAGCCCTTCTATACCCAGGGCTTTACATCTTGGGATATTTGCCAAAGCCTTAGATAGAAACAAAATGGGAACAGCACACCAATGTCGGCTCGTCATCTTCTGAATAAACTTTAACAGGAAACTACCTGAAAGAAAAAGTTTTAAGACGTCATTGTTGCCAACAAGCACGTGAAAAGATGCTCAACATCATCAGGGAAATGCAAATCAAAAACCATAATGAGATACAACTTCACACCCATTAGGACGGCTACCGTCAAAAGGACAGACAGACAATAATTAAGTGTTAACCAGGATGTGGAGACATGAACTCTCAGACATTATCGGTGGAAATGTAAAATGGTGCAGCCAGTGTGGAAAACAGTTTGGTGGCTCCTTTAAAAGTTAAACACAGGGCTTCCCTGGTGGCGCAGTGGTTGAGAGTCCGCCTGCCGATGCAGGGGACACGGATTTGTGCCCCGGTCCGGGAAGATCCCGCATGCCGCGGAGCGGCTAGGCCCATGAGCCATGGCCGCTGAGCCTGCGCGTCCGGAGCCTGTGCTCCGCCAACGGGAGAGGCCACAACAGTGAGAGGCCCGTGTACCGCAAAAAAAAAAAAAAAAAAAAAGTTAAACACAGAGTTACTATTTGACCTAATAATTCTACTCCTAGGTATATAATTAAGAGAAGTGAAAGATTACATTCATATAAAAACCTGTATGTGAATATTCATAGGAAATAGTTAAAAGTGGAAACAATCCAAACATCTATCAACTGATGAATGGATAGACAGAATGTGAAGTAACTACACGGTGGAATATTATTCAGCTACGGAAAGGACTGGAATATTGATAAATGTTACCACATAGGTGAATCTTAAAAACATTACGCTAAGCAAAAGAAGCCAGACATAAAATAAAAGGCCACATGTTATATGATTCCATTTATATGAAATGTTTAGAATAGGCAAATCTAGAGAGACAGAAAGTAAATTAGTGGCTGACAGGAGCCAGGGGAAAGGAAAATGAGACTTGATTACTTATGGGCAAGGAGTTTCTTTCGGGGATGATGAAAATATTCTGGAATTAGTGGTGATAGTTGTATAACTTTGTGAATATACTAAAAACCACTGAACTGAACAATTTAAAAGGGTGAATTTTATGGTGTGTGAATTATATCTCGATAAAGCTGTTGGGAACAAAAAAAAAATCAATGTCATTTCAATTTCATTCCTTTTTAGTGAGGTAAGTATTCTAGTGTATTGTAGAAATTCTGATAACCATGTAGCTATATATTTAATAGTTAAGGTAAAAGATAAATTTTTTACTGTTGGAAACCATGCATCTGTTGGAGATATTAAAGAAACGCAGGATAAGAAGTACCAACGGTAGCTGGCCTCTGGTATCTGCAAACAGTGGTATTAGATCTTTCTCACAGGTTATTTCGTACCTACCCTGGATCTAATCACTGTAATTAATTTAAGTATTCTGAGATACAAAAGGATGGTGCTCTATCCCGCTTTCTCTGCTAGTATGTGATATCTTAAGGATCTTCAAGTCATAGTAGTTAATAAAAATGTCTGTTTCCTGAGATCATCACTTACAATGACTTTTAAGAAATCCCTGGACGCTCCTGAAAGGGTATTACCTGTATTTTATATCTCCCAAAGTGCCTAGCCCAGAACTAGATACGCTTAGGATACTGCTGACAGAAAAAACTACAAAGTAAAAACTGTAAATAAACATTCTACCTGCCCTCCCTCCTGTTGGACTAATTAAGTTCCCATCTTCTGCCTCACAGCTCTCTCATGACACAAGGACCATGGCAACAGCCTAGCCTCTATTGCTTATTCACTCACCACACTGACAGGGTCACACGGTCACAAACTCTAGGCGCTCAAACTCTGGGGGGCACTGATCACCGTCATGTCACTCACGCTGTGCTGTGGACGTGAGATGTGCCGACGTGGTCGGCAAATGAATCCCCAGACTGTAAACTTCCAAACTCTAGCAAACTAACGAACAGCTCTGACAGTTATCTTCTCCAGTTTAACTTTTTAAAAAAGTAAGCAAAACAATCCATTTCCTGTCAATCTGAAGTTGTGATATACAGGTGGCCCTCTTTTCTCTTTCTTCCCTGACTTTTGAATACATAGCACCACCAGTCATCGTTCACCCTATTTGCAGATTAAATACAAAAGGCGAAGTATATGTATTTCATAGCCAGGGTCACTTTCTAAGTCACAAAGCTCAGAATGAAAAGAGAGACTCGGAAAGAAGAGTGGGCCCTGCTACTCAGCAAGCAAGATAACACTGGTTTTGCGCTTTGCTTACCAACATAGCTCATCAGAAAGAAAAATACATCTCCCACCTGAAGAAGTGGGATATTTCTAGGATACAAGGTCTTACGAAAAGCAAGTATTTTTTCCTTTCTTATCTTTCTGAGTCAGTATCTATAAAGGGACAACTTTGCCACAATAGACACTCTGTTTATAACTCTTTCCTAAGCCCAGGTTCTTTCTTTCTTCGACCTATTTTGCTCATTTTTCAAACTGAATAGAGACAATTGGAAAGAACGGCAAACTGCAGCACACACTGCAAAACCACTTCCATGCTACGGATACCAATACTGGTATCATGTTATATACAAAAGTAAAATTGTGTACTCAGTTTCAATGGACATGTGTATAATTCTGACAAAATTGGCATATTCTGGAAAGAGGAACCATTTTGATAATACTGATTATAATAGTCACAGGTTGGTGCTTATAACCAACATACTGAAAATTTAAGCTAATAAATTAAAAAGAAACTCTTTACTGACACATACTCTTTATTTCTTCTGGAAGAAGAGAAATGTAAGTGACTAAGAACTTCTGTAATTTCAATCCCAGTGGAGAACCACTTCCTATCAGCTGGCCTGGGGACCTACAGACAAAGGGGAAAAAAAACAAATATTTTAAATCTATTTACAAATAAGTAGGCTGAAACTAAATGGAATATGGCCCAAATGTCTTTCAACAATAAAACAAGAAAACCACCTTCTTCTTCTAAACCTGCATTCTCTTTTTCAGTAAAATCTTGAGGATCCTTCTGATAAAAACATCAGAGATCTTCTAGGAAAACAGACGTGAATTAGTAATGTGCTACACTAAGCAGGCCTGGATTTCTTTTTTATGACACTTTCTCTGACACACATATATGAATCTTGCCAAATAGTATCGTTTAAAAAAAAGTCTAAAAATGAAAATGTAAAATTATATTTTACTGTTCCCAACACGTAATCCAATGATTTTAAATCTTTAAGTATTAAATAAAAGAAATAACATTCACAGAAAGACATATGTTAGTAATAGGTAACTGTTGCAAGAGCATTTAATTATTAACATCTACTAAAGTCACGTTGTTTTTTTTTTTGCTATATGCTTCGGCCAGGGACATTATCTGTTAATTGAACACATTAGGGTGCTAGGGAACTGAAGGCATTTTGTAATAAATGTGTTTGTCAACTCTCAGAAAGCATCACATTCGTTTTACTGCTTTCCAGCTGTCTAATTGCTTCAGAAAACTATTCAACAGTAATGATTATTTGAAAATCAAAAATAATTGGCAAATCTAGCATTGCATGCTCTTCC